ACACACACACACACACACACACTCCTATGTCTCTAGGTGATTTAATTAGTAATCCTGTGTGGTCCGACCGACACAGGACCTGACACTGGAGCCTGTACCTCCACCACCAGAGTGCAGAAAGAACACTTTTTCAAACCAGCATCACTTGATCCTCCATGGCTGTGTCGCCCCCGTCCCCTGCAAGGAGAATCTGATAGTTTTCAATAGCCCAGCGTAATTTGGTCTAAGTCGGAGAAAAGCTGTTCCAGAACAGAACAGGGTCACAGAACAGAACTGTAACAGGGAGCGTAGCTGGAGGGAGAGGGGAGGAGAGAGGAGGGGAGAGGGGAGGAGAGAGGAGGCAGAGGGGAGAGGAGAGGGGAGGAGAGAGGAGGAGCTGCCTTCCTGCAGCCTTGGAAGGCGCACATGGAAGGAAAAATTGAGCAGTTACATAACAGTGGTCTGTGTTGAGTGTTGAGGTGGGAGCAGCTAACGTCCAGGCAGACGTGTGAAGACACACAGTTGAGTCATTCAACCAGTCCTGACCTGAGACAAAGGAGGCTGTTGAACACAACAGAGTGTTAAACAGCCTGTTCAACAGTCTGTTCAACAGGCTGTTCAACAGACTGTTCAACAGACTGTTCAACAGTCTGTTCCTTGTGCTGATCAGAAAACAAATATTTCTACCATTCGGTTTCGTTTGGTGCCGTCAGAGACATTTCCAGTCCCTCTCCCTTCTTTGACGGGTAAACAGAGAAAATGAAAAGAGTTTCAGTCAGTCACTTGTTTCACTAAAAGGATGAAACATTCCACTGAAATAATAAACTGAAACTGAAACGTTAGAAAATGTCAAATATATATTTCACGGTGTTACATCGTACGACTGTGGGAGTGTGGTAAAGGCGGGGTCAGGCACATTACCCAGACATGAATCACGCAGTGGAGTGTATTTACATATGTGTGTGTGTGCGTGTGTGTGTGTGTGTGTAATTGTGACTAAGAGGGTTTAAGAGGGTCCTCCCCCCTCAGTCGGTCAGGGACCAGGCTGGTGATCGTGATCCCTCCTCAGCACCACGTCCACGGTGAGCAGTTTATGAAAAGCATGAACTTAAATTTGACTTTTTAGACTTGACTTAAAAGCATGAACTTAAATTTGACTTTTTAGGTTAAGTTAAAACACTGTTAATGCAACTAGAAGAAGAAGTTTCTGGAACTGAACATCCTTTTATTCTTTGACGTACGTTTCTTTGCGTGACTGTTTAGCTCTTTGGTACCAATGTTTACTTTCACAAGTTTCAACCTGTTTCCTCCGAGACGTTAATGCCAGTTTTGTTCCTCAGCTGCAGCCATGGCTCGTCTGGATCAGGTCATCACGAACATTGTTGACATCTTCCTGGAGTACGCCAACGATGAGGGCAGGAAACACCAACTAAACAAGGACGAGTTAAAGAAAGTGCTGCAGCAGGAAATACAAAGCCCTGAGTTAAAGGTCAGCGATGGCGCCCCCTGGACACTCTTTTCTGCCTGTTGTTAGCGCAGCCGACCATCCTCGCTCCAAAATTGTCGGACAGATCTTTGAATTTTGATCTTGCTGCTAGCCTTCTGTCTTGACTTAACTTCATCTGTTAATCTGTCTATTGCTTTACGTAAAAAAAAAGGGAGGAGGGGGATTGCATCTACAATGTAACGCAACCCCTCCAAATGCACACCTTTACTGTCTTCACTGTTTTCCTACATGTCTTGCACCACCCTCACATACATTTCTGCCACTCCTGACTTTCTCATACAGTTCCTCAGTTCTCATCAGAACCCTATCAGATGTTGTTTTTACCTTTGCATCCTTGCAGTACCACCCTCTCCACCCATTGCCCCCCCTCCCCCCCATTACCTTCACTGACTTCTGTCTTCTTCATTTCAGGAAAAAATCAATGCCGACGACATAGAGGAGGTCATGGGGGTGTTGGATAAAAATCACGATGGCGAGGTCAACTTTCGCGAGTTCTGTCGCTGCATCTCAGACCTGGCTAAATGCTACTATCAAAAGAAGACAGGCAGGGGAGGCAAGAAGAACCGGGGCAACGAGCCCGCAGCTGAAGATTAACCTTTTAACCCCTTTGTTGTGTTTTCTCACGGTAAAACCAATCAGTATAAATAACATTTAGACCTCATAGACGACTTGCTGTTTTGTTAGACCAGGCAACTTAAAAATTCACCTCCAAATTGGTTTTCGTGACATTTCCTTTAACTGTGTAACATTAATCACTGACATGACATTTGCTGACGTTAAGTTTGGACTGAAAATAAATCTCTGGTGCAACAATCCCTGCCGGAATCTTGGTGAGGTATCTGGTGTCAGCGGTGTGAAAGGAACAAGCCGAGGTTGATGAAAAATTCAACAGACATCACTCACTGTGGTCAGAGTAAAACTGAGCATCACTGCTCCACCCAGGAAGTGTCGGGTCTACTGTTTCCCCAACATAAGGTTCTCATTAAGATCTTAAGTAATTACTGTTTTATTTAAGAGTGAAATAAATCTTCCGAAATTAACATTCTTAAAATGACCATTCGTATATTGCTGGAACAATGATTTAATTATTCGTGTGGAACAAATATCTGGACA